ATTGAAGGCATGATCAAAAATATGTCCAGCACAGTTGATTATGTGATGAAAATGGGGAGGAACAATATGCCGCTTATGATAATTGTGCATACTGAGTGTTAATAGTGTTTTACCCACGACCAAATGGTGATATTGCGTCTAGGCAGCATGACTATTACTGCAAATTTAGCGATCTAACAAATTAGTAAAGCCAAACTCATATTGCTTAATAATAAACGCCCTTGTTTAAATGTTTGCCATCAAATTCGTTACTTTCCAATAGTAGAAATTCTAAGGAAAGTTTATTGCGTTCCATTGAAAGACGGAGTGCATCACGAATAAATTAAATGGAAGTGCCTTATTCTACGTCACTTTGCTCTTCGAAGTACAGAATGCAATCGATGCTTGCGACAAATGTTAGGTATCACTCGAAATCAAACTACAGTCTTTGATTTATGGTTTTCAGCGAAAACCAGGGGGTAAAGATCAGCCCCAAACGGTTTCCTTACCATTCGTGATTCTGTTGCAAACCACAAGCCATTAAAGTATGTGTTTGCAAGTTCAAATGACGTTTTCTACGGTTTAGAATATAAGGATTCCGTGGAGGGTCGAACTTAAATTAGATTTTCTTTATCTAAGCCACAAAAATGGATTAGAAATTTGAACAGGCTGGCCTGAATATGGATACATGTTATAAATATTCTATACATGCTTCAAAAAACAGTTTGTAAACAATAGCCGATGTGCCATCTTGAACGAAGTGCTAATATTTCAGATACTAATTCATAAATACCGAGTTCCGTGGAAGTGTGGCACGATGCTGATTGGTTCTTTGAGTGACAGCATCTTAAGGAAAGATCAGTATAATTTCCAGTATAATTCCCAGTATAATTTCCTTCTGAGAACTTGAAATCTGCTATGCCTATTGTGATGGCCGAATAGGTATCCTGTGTTGAATTCGATATATGAACGAATACAGGATTCTGATGGCCAGCTAGCAACTGTTTTGATACACTATCTGGACTACTTTTAAATCAGAGAGTAGCTTGAGAAACAAATCGTACTACTCAGCAGGACGGGGTGCCCGCGCTCACGACAGCCGTCATAAAATGATGAGCATGACAATCGTTTTCAAGATAGGCGAAATGAGCTTTCTAAGTGTTAAAATATATGTCTACTCTCATTTAAATTGTAGTGAACAGCTGCTCGTATATCACGAATTACCAGCGCATTTGAGGATTATATCGTGAACGCATTGTTCATCGATTTCATCACAATATTTAAAATCATAATCCGAATCCGGAAATGGAATCAGAGCCAGTGTTTTTGAAATTAGCTGAACCTCGACGAGGTAAAAACTTGAGTTATAGGTACAGACTGTCAAAACTCAACTGCAAGGGCCGGTGACCTTGGAACCACTTGGCTGACCGATAAGTGAGGTGGTGAAGTACCTTTTAAGAATAAACCTGTAGTTCGACGAATGAGAACGTAGGTAAATAGCAGACAATGATCATGGTCTTATGGCCAGGTAAGTTGGATTACGGCTTGTGTTATTTCGCGTGCGATTACGTAGAACGGGACAAAACTCAGTCCTAGGTACTGGTGGTTGCGGTATTTCGTCGAATATGTAATCACATGACTCTTGGTTGAACAACTATCATCCCATCCTGACGAAATCATCCTGGTGAGAGCATTGTACCTGAGCTTCGCCCTTATTGGATCTCATCAGCAGTGCATATCCAATGGCCTTGCTAGGGTTTGAACTCAACTCATCTGACATAAGATTTGAGCGTGCTACCACTACTCCACCAACACACACTGGACTTATCCAACCTTTTAACTCCGAACAGATGAACATGTTCGCGCTTGAGTGATGTGAGTTGAGTGCCCGACGCCTTGAACGATGACCAGGAACATACCTTGGTTGTCTCTATCGATTGGCCCGCAAGTCAGGACTCCCCGTTGGGTAGCACCCGTTCAAATGTAAAAACTCCGCTTGTGGATAAATGTGCTATCTTCGAAATCAATTTACATTAGAACTTGCTTCGCTACAGAATGCAAATCCATAGCCAGCATAAACCAGTATTTAAACGTCTGTAATGCGTCTGATTAGTGAGGCGTAATCTGACTATCTAGCTTTCCGATTACTGTGACGCCCAGAAGTTAACAATTGCATGTCTTTCATAGTTTCTGCTAGAAGATGGTGAATTATCAATTGAAATCCTTTCCTGGTTTGTTTCTGTCAGCCTTGGTTTTACGAAAGACTGAAGAGCATCGCGCAGGCTCTGTGCTGGATTGACATCGGACTGGTTTTTACAAATTTAATAACTATTCCAAGGCCGTTTGAACGGTGGTTGTTGCTCCTGTACAACCAAAACGGAGTCTTCTCATGTGAGTGACTCAAGAAACACAAGCCATATTCTCAACAGACAAGCGGGAAACTGGTCTACAGCTTTTTTTGAAACAGATTTTAAAGCAGAATGAATGGCATGAAATTTTTGATGACAGACACATGTCTGCACCAGAAGGAGGATGCAAAATAGAGCCGTTTAAAACTGAACCCATTATACGATATTATTCAGGAGCTAGTAATAGAACCTTTTCGTCCACTACGTTTCCAACCCAAAAGTGTCCAAGATCAGCGAAGGACGCCAAAATAATATCAGAAGTATAGAGTCCGAACATGTAGATTCTAGTGACTTCATGTTCTTCCTGTATCAACGTACTGATTTTGAGGGGCAAGGAGGAGACCAACTGAGTGGGAAGTAACGGTATAGTGGTGTGACGAAGCCACGCAAGCATGCGTCACGTGAACGAATCAACCAATCAGAAATCTCATTCGTACTCACGTGTGATTGGTGTGTGTGGTTATCCTTGCTGGTCGATAAGCGCGGACCGCATGGACCAGATTCACCAGTCCGTGACGCGCCCCGACAGTTGAGCTTAGCACTGCAGCCGCGTTGTGTGGTTGCACAAATCCCCAAACTAGCCACTGAAAATGTTATTCGTTCAGTATCACTCAAGTCGGTAAGAAATAGCTCATAAACACGATACTAAAGATGGCATTTCTGTTCTTAGTCGCAGTCGATCGCCTTCTTTGAAATCGATCATGGGAACAGTAATAGCTCTGTGGAGAAACAACTCAGACAAAGGGGGATTTCATGATTCCCCGGAATTGTCTTCTTGACTAAACTTAAAATTACCAATTTTGACTTCAGTTGCATTAAAACATCTCATATTCATTATCTGTTTGAGTAATTTAGAATCGGTTCGTAACGCGTGAGATGTAGCCGTCTGGTACCGTTTATCTAGTCCCAGCATATTTGGTGCAGTTTAAAAAGCGTTGGAGAAATAAAACCTAGACAGTATGGAGATAAAAACTTCCAAAGAACTAACCAAATGTTGGGGGCCCCGTAATGAATTGGTCTTTCCCGATCCCAGGACTATATCAGATTTATGACCTCAAATAGGACCAAACCGGTATCCAGTTGTCTCCGGACTCCTAGAAATCGTTATCTAACGTATATATAAGGATATTTCTGTTCAAAATTTTCTTTATTAATCAGACAGGAGTTTAAAATCTAGAACTGTTTTTCAGGGCACTGCTCACGAGTAGTATCTAACCTCTGGATCGCAGTAAAGTTTGACAGATGAACGTGACATTCTTGAGGCTTATGGAATATGGGGAAATGCTTTTTCTCCATAAAATGAGCACACTGGTCTCTTCTGAAAATTGAACTCAGTCGGGAATTTGAAATGTATCTAACCGACCGAGGCCCGAGTATAGGTTCCCTTTTTAAGACCAGAAACTACCGAGCATTCCTTCACACAGTAATGCTGTTGGTAGCACTTTGTTGACGATTTCATTCCCTTTTAGGTAAGCGCCAGTCTCGATCTCCCAGCTGAACAAAAAAATCCGAGTTTGAAGGTCAATGTCCAGTCGCAAATTAACTCGGTATCCAAGAAGGTCTGGATAGGAACCTAGCTGAATCTCTGCTTTATGGTATGTGTAGACTTAGAAATTTCATGAGAATTTCATTAAAGCGGGGTTAAGCAACGGCTCCCTATTGGTTACTTTGAAATGAGCCCCCAGAGAGAAGAACCATTTTGTGTAGTAGCACAAGTTGGTTACTTTGAAATGAGCGCCCAGAGAGAAAAAACATTTATCGTAATAGCGCAACGTCGGGGAATTCAATGCATCTTGTTCGACTGCCTACTATCATCACACTAAACATAAGGGCGAGATGGATCAATTGGTTAGAGCGCGAATTTACTGATCGGAAAGTCCGTGGTTCGATCCTGACATCTGCCTCTCGACTTCCCCTGTTTGGGCTTGGGTAACCTGGCAGTATCTCAGCCCTCGTGCCTCCCTCATGTGGCATAGAAGCTAGGCACCGAAAGGGTGCTACAGCTGGGCGGTTTTTTCTACACCGCCCAGAGGATTGATTTGAAAGCTTGGAGCAGGTAGCCAAGTGGGTGGCCAACCGATGGGGCGGAAACGATAGGACAACAAGTGAAAGGTCAGCGGAGTTCGAGACATCGAAATGAAGGAAAGGTTTAAAGCTATCCCAAATGGTTGCGTGGACGTTATGAGAGAGCTTGTAGGTGAAATCAGGTTTACGGGATACGTGGAAATCCACGCGTCCTAGCCTACCACGGTGAAACCAAGCTCAGCGTCTAAGCTTTTCGGACACAGGTTTTATTCGGAACGCTGAGAAGACGCAGTCTTTAACCTGCTCTGATGTGATGATCCTCAGTGAGCCACTGAGTTTCGTACTTTAGAAGCTATCAATGTTACAATAATTTCAATTGATTTATTCATAGTGTTAGGCAGGAATCCACACGGATCCCACCATACCGCACGTCTTTAGGCGCTGCCACGGCCAAGAAGCCTGGCCCGCTCGAGGTTGGCCCGAAATTCGGGACGCTTGCCGGTCCGGCATCAAGACGAGATCTGATTGGTCAACAATCTGGACCCAACAGCCAATCATGACCCAGTATTGGCCAAATGCCGGTTGCCAATGGACCTCCAGAACGCGTCAGAAATTCCAGAAAGTTATAGCCGCTTACGCTATATATACGAAGCGCTGTACAACTGTTCTGATAAGCAGCCGATCGTAGCCATCCGAAGGTTGCGGGTTAGAAATTGCCCACTGGTGTTCCATGAGCCACGCACTGCAGATGATTCACTTGCAAGACAAAATCCTCGTTGATACTTCCAATATACTTGATTCAGCTGGCCATCGAATAGTTTAAGAGGCATCAGCAGAGTGCGGAGTAAAACTGCCTCTAACATCCTTTCTTCAGGAACGTTTGTTTCGGCAGTACTTCAGTCCTCCCTCACTCCGCCTTCCATCAGTCTTGACTGTCTGACAAAAATAAATGAGTTGAACATACAAGTTATCTCCGCTTTGACAGCTTTTCCCGGCGCATCAAACACGTGTCGCAAAATGCAGTCTAAGCCCCTTTGGGCACTCAATGTCTGAATTTCAATTTATTGGGTATCACTGTCCCAGATTTCGCATTCAGCATATTTGTCCATTGTTGTTTCTGAAAATGATCTTTTGAATTTAAACAAGTTAATCAAATTTGACAAATACGTTGTCAAACTGGCACAGATATTTCGGTCTGCTGATGCAGAAAGTGACTCGATCAATCATTGTTTATGGCGTCTGTACTAAAGTACACAATTACCAAGATAGTAGGTTAAATTAGGATACCGAACAAGTCGACCTTGTTGCGATTAAAGTGCGGTCATAATAGGACTGATAGCCACACCGGACGAGGTCATGAGCGGACAGATAGCCACTCCGGACGAGGGAAGTTTTTTGAGAATCTTTGAGACTTGTTCACGTATCTCCAGTTCCGAAAATAGCTATTAATTCCCAGTTTCTCAAGATCTGTAATTTGTGAAGGACTTCAGTAGCATCCTCAATAGTATAAACGGCTAGGCGCACGCTAACACTCAATTAAAGAGGCATGTGACTCCCGAGAAATTTACTCATTTGCAAATCAATTTGGTTTTAGTTAAAGAGGCATATGACTTGTTTTATTGCATCAGAGTCAGTCGGTAAGACCATACTCCCTAAGAGAGAAAATAAAAGTTCAAGCCTCGTGACTCCATGGAGTGAAACTCGACAAAAATGAGGTCCTACTCTTAGGGA